CCGTAACCGTATCCGTTAGGATACGAATATGGTTACTCAAATCTATAACCGATAGGATATAGTTACAGATATGGTTTTGTAGTAAAATATCCATATCCGTATCCGAAAATATCCGAATACATATTGATCATACTCTTACGATAGTTTCGAGTCTTAGATTATGGATTTGTGATTAATTTTGATGATCAAGATGTCTAATCTTAGCTTTTCAATCATAATGAACATATTAACGAACTCTTTTTGTATCACATGCCTATATTTTTCTGAACACTATCTAGTTTTCTAATATCCTTTTTGTATCCGCATACATATCCGTTTATATATCCGCATCTATATCCGTAACCATATCCGATTTTGGCGGATATGGATATGAATTTTTCTTACCGATGTATATCCGTATCCATATCCGTATCCGAGATGGGTAAGCGGATATGAATATGATAAGTGTCATATCCAAATCGTATCCGCTCCGTTAACACCCCTAGGTGTTAGTGTGTTACTCGTCCGGGATTGTTTGGTGTAATCGTCTGGGATTAATTTGTTCAGACTGACATGGATGGAAGTAGAACTTTTCTCTAATCTAATCCTCAAAATACATATTTAGAAAGTTCCACCAACCCTCAACTTATTAGTTCCCCGCACCATTGATCTGCTTATAGTGTATTATATAATATGTTGATTAAGGGGTTATTCGTAAGTTTAGAAAATTTTGCAGGATTAAAACTTTGAGGGATCTATTTGTAAAACTTTTAAGACCTTTGTCGTAAATTTTTAAAACTTTCATCGACCTATTTGTAATATTTTGGCGGCTAATAGTATTTTCTTGAAACATTCAGAGGAGAGGGCCACTTTAGTCTGATGTAATTTTAATCCCAATCCCATGATGAACTGAAATAAATTAACCAAACTAGGACTTAATATCCCAATCCCACGTAATGAAGGAACTAAACCCTAATTTGTTTGGGCCTATCTTCTAAAATCAAATTATATATACGCAATAAGTTCCAAACAACATATTACAGAGGACATGTGTGCAATTACTCCTTTTCTCAACGGTAGGTATGTTTGCTATAGCAATGTAAGATGGGTTTGTGGGTTATAGTTTAGTGTAATATTCTAACCCAAATTGCACTTACTTTGTCTACCCGTTGGTGGGTAAATTCTCAAATATCAAATGGCACATGATTTTTGAATTTATGAAAACAAAATATATATATATATATATATATATATATATATAGGGAGAGGTTCTAATAAAAACCTAGAGAACTAAAAACCAATCCTAACCCTCCAATCTATCTAATCCAATGGCCTACATTTCGATGGCAGAATTGTAAATATAGACAAATTTAATACACATCATTAATGTGAAAAAGGTAAAATTGGAACAATTCATTACATTAATGGTGGCTGGCAAATATATATATATATATATATATATATATATATAGGGAGAGGTTCTAATAAAAACCTAGAGAACTAAAAACCAATCCTAACCCTCCAATCTATCTAATCCAATGGCCTACATTTCGATGGCAGAATTGTAAATATAGACAAATTTAATACACATCATTAATGTTAAAAGGGTAAAATTAGAACAATTCACTACATTAATGGTGGCTGGCAACATTGAAAACCAAAAATACAACACGTGGAACAATTCACTACATTAATGGTGGCTGGCAACATTAATGCTTCTCTGTTGAGTTCTCCATTTCCCCATTTCTCTCTCTAACTCACTTCCTGCTCTCTGTAACTCACTTCCATCTTCTATCAAGTTTTGATCTTCCATCTTCGCATGAAGAACACAACAACAATTCATTAAAAATCATCCTAACCATCCAAGCTTTCGCTGGAGTGAATCTGGATTCACTCCAGTGAATCTGGATTCACTCCATTGAATCTGGATTATATTGAAGCTCGATTCATTAGAGTGAATCCAGATTCACTGAATTGAATCCAGATTCAGTGGACTGAAACTCATCATCAAACAATAGCAAATCTGTAAAAATAAAAACAAAAAGAATAAGAAACTTATGGTAAAAAAAAGCTATAAAATTTTAAACCATGATAAGATTTCACATTTTACAGCAAAAAGTTACGATTTTTATGGTAAAAAACAAACACCTCACATAACTGAATCTGGATTCACTACAGTGAATCTAGATTCACTCATGCGTTTATTTCTTCAAAATTACAGCACATACATTTATTTCTTCAACAATTCATTAAAAACCATCATAACCATCCAAGCTTTCGCTGGAGTGAATCTGGATTCACTCCAGTGAATCTGGATTCACTCCATTGAATCTGGATTCACTCCATTGAATCTGGATTATATTGAAGAATAAAAAACTTATGGTAAAAAATAAGCTATAAAATTTTAAACAAAAAGAATAAGAAACTTATGGTAAAAAACAAGCTATAAAATTTTAAACCATGAAAAGATTTCATCTTTTACAGCAAAAAATTACGATTTTTATGGTAAAAAACAAACACCTCACATACTGAATCTGGATTCACTGCTGTGAATCGAGATTCACTGCAGTGAATCGAGATTCACTTATGCAAAAAATTACGATTTTTATGGTAAAAAACAAACACCTCACATACTGAATCTGGATTCACTGCTGTGAATCGAGATTCACTGCAGTGAATCTAGATTCACTTATGCGTGTCTTCGTTTTTCAACTGGTTTCTTCAAAAAACAAAAAACTTTTCAGACTAAAAGGTGAAATATTTCACCTTTTACAACAAAAAGTTACGATTTTTAAGGTTAAAACTAAAACTTTTAGACGAAAAATCAAACAAATTTTATAAACTTACTATTAAAACGTCAAAATAATTTAACAGCCCACTGAATCATGAAGACGAAGGTTGAAGAAGACCGTGAAGACGAAGCGTCAAAATAATTTCATAAACCATGAGGACGAAGGTTGAAGAAGAGAGAGTTGCAGTGATTTTGGAGAGAGAGAGGTTGAAGAAGACGAAGGTTGAAGAAGAGAGATGTTGAAGACAGAGAGAGAGTTGCTGTGATTTTGGAGAGAGAGAGAGTTGCATAGGGAAATGGAGAACTCAACAGAGAAGCATTAATTACCTCTCTTTAGTGGTATATATATATATTTTTAAAATACCTTTGTATGAGAATTTGAGAGAATGATTTGTTAATCCTCATACCAGTTACCTTGCAAATGGGACAGTCATGGATTGGTCCTATGTTTAGTCAGTGCAAGCATCGCCTTAAGTAATTTGTGATTTTTCTCCCAAGTGATAACCTGAATCTCCTAGTTTGGCTTACTTACTTCCTTGGAAGCTTCAACTGGTTCCTAAGTATTTTATCTCTGTACTCTGAGCCTAGTTATGTTTACATTCAAGGTAGTGATATTTCTATAATTTCCGTCTTTTTTAGGACTAATACTTATCCAATGGAAAACATCTGAAGTCCTTCTATTTTTCCAGGTTTATCTCGTAGCTGGATTGGGTGGAGGATTCTTGACATTTTTTATATCAGCATCGATGGTTCCTGCATGGATTTGTTTTGGTCAAATTAGCAAGAATTTCGGCCATCACACACTCAAGTAAGGGACTCTATGATCCTAGACCCTACTGAAGAGTGAATTTTTACAGAATCCATCTAGTTTTGCAGCTAAATTTATTCAAATTTCCAAGAAAATCCTTTGAGTTTATTAATCTGTATTTACTTTTTTACGAGTTTGAGCAGTGTTGTATTAAATATACTAGGGACAACATTATGATGTAAGGCTATAATAATTTTGGAAGAGTTAGAGAAAAATTTGAGTGAAAACAAGTTTTTATACCATTAACATGATTTTAGCTTGATGCTCAATCAAATGATGACTTTGCTTTATGGTCCAGTTGATGCATTAAACAATACTTTAGAAAAACATTCATAGCATGAAAATATAAATCTCGACTAATTAATTGGATGACAATTCAATAAATCCCTTTCTTAAAGTCTTGTGAGGACAATGTGTGTACCTTGTTAGTGGATCCCTCGATGCATTGCATTACTTTAAATGTATAAGGTGCAAATGGTTAGTGGTTCCTTCCCATATTAAATAATAAACTTAGCTTTCTTTTCTCAAAAAGGTATAAAAGAAAAAGAATACATTTGTAGGATCGTCTTGGGAGTTTCACACCAAGCTAAAGGACATTAAGAGCTCCTTGATTAGTGGATACTTTTATCATCATATTGAAGCATTTTCCAATTAAAATGGGTTCAACGATCCACTGAGAATCTGCGAAGTGTGCATGCTCAGCCATTAACATGATATTAGCATTCTATAGTTAGTAGGAAATTCATTACCAAATATCAGTAGGTGCTACATTGATGACCAATTGGTGGATAGTGGTCACACATTTTCGTGCAATTAAGTATGGGTTAAATTTCATATAGTTGCTTATTTAAGTATGGGTTAAATTTCATATTCATCTTTATGGCCTAAAATCATGCTTAGATTCACATGGAATCACATTCCCAAACTTAAAGGATAATAGTAATGTATTTTCTTGTCCTATCTGTTCCATCATTTAGTAGCTTCTATAAAATTCCTGGTATCTTTAATACCTAGTCTAACTAAGCGTCTTAGATATCAAGTTGTAGCTTCAGTCTCTATTTCCTGACAGCTGTTCTATTAAAGTCTGAAGTGCGCATAGCTTAATGATTTACTTGATCTGTGGTCAACATATATGCTGCTGATAAGACATGGTTAAAGGTAAATCAAACCAAACAGTAGAATTTGGAGAGACCCATGGTCCAAATGCAGAAATGCTCAATGCATAAAGCTTTTCGGTTGAAAGGTAATACTGGCATGTTACTGTGGGACCCAAGATACAATACCTCCTATAAACTGTTCTCTGTTCCTGTATGATAAACTCAAGAAAATAAACAGGTCATAGATTGTGTAAAGAAGTTGTGTGATAACATGGATTTCTATACATGAAGTACTAACATCACTCATTGTTGTTTTCGTTTTGTTGTTCGAGTAATGTCAAATTTTTGTTGTTTGTGAAAAAGTTGAAATCCAAAAAACACGTCGATCATGATTCTCATACAGAATGTTCTGTTAGGTTGTGTAGTCTTTTATTGTATCTTGGAACATCAATCATTTTTCCGAGGATAGATACATATGTAAATTTACTTTCCCATGTTTATATTATAATGAGGAAAAATTTCAGGTCAATGGCAGGATACATCATCCCTCTAGTCCCATGCCTTACATATAATGTCTACTTTGGTGGGTTTCTCGTCCAATTCTTGATTGAGAAAATGGGGATGATGGGTTCTCTTCCGAAGCCATATGGTTAGTTCTGCTGATTATTCTAAGCTCTCTGATCTAAATCTGGTTTTCTTAGTTATAATATGGTCTTTTTTAATCTAGGTATCACTATTGTTAGGGTTACGAAGTCTTTCTTTCTTCTCTCTGTTTTTTTCCGCGCATATAGACAAATTCTTCTTGTTTGATTTGATTATATCAATCTACTAATCTAGTAGTTGATTGTTTCCATGATGTACTATGCTTGCGGAAAAGTTGTCACACTGAAACCGGCTTGCCTTGTTCACCTGAGAGAAAGCTGGAGAGGTGTTAAGGGGGCTTGTCTCTGATAGTAGTGGACCCTGGCTTCAAAATTTTCCTTCATTATATCGTAAGGAGTGCTCCTATCTAGGAGAAAGGATGGGAGAGATCCACCTATTTTCAAGAAATGGAAAGCTGCAAGCCACTATTAAGCGACTTTCCTGCTCTGCCATCTTAATCATAAATGACAAGTTTGCCTATTAAATATGGATGTCTTTTCTTGTCTAGCCATCAAAATGATTAGGGTTACAAATAATTATTTTGCACAGATCCTGATTTCTTCTTATTGATTTAATTATATCAATCTAGTAGTTGAATCTTTCCATGATGTACTACGCTTGCTGAAAAGTTGTCACAACTGAAACTAGCTTGCTTGCTCATCTAAGAGAAAGCTGGAGAGCTATTAAAGGGACTTGGTGATAGTAGTGAGTCACAGATTCAAAGTTTGCCTCCAATACATTGGAAGGAATGCTCCTGTCCAGGAGTTCACCTAATTAGAAAAGGAAAGCCGCAATGTCCGTATTAAGTGACTTTCTTTCTTTACTATCCACATCTTAAATTATGTGTATTCCCCCAGATATATGATTAATAAATAGACATGATTATATTTACTGCTATTGAAGCTGGAGGTTATGAGAGATTATAGTAAAAAATATGTGTACATGAATAAATCAATGAAGGTTCTTCTTGCAGGATTTTTCATTCCTGATATTGTAGTGGCGGCAATTATTGGACTGGTTACTGGATGGTGTGTTGGTCCTTTAATACCTGTTGCCGGTCGTTGGTTGGGTAAGTTGTCCATTTTGCAGTTCTTGTTGCAAGTGACTGTGCTTGCTTTGGCCCTGTCATCCCAGATCTTTCCATACAGTGTTGCTGCACCAAAAAGGGTTTTACTTCAGCACAAGTTTGCGACCACTGGTATGTTATAACAAAATCTCTTTTCATTAATGTGATGCTTATGTGATAGTTTATCTCTGAGCATAGAAGTGTGTCTCATGTCCCTTGTAGCTTTATGATCTTAAATACCCGCCATTACTTGTCTTTTCAAGTCAGTCTCTTTGTTTATTTTGCATTCATCTTGAGTTGGGTTTTAGCAGCTATTTACATTTATTATTGTCTGAGGTCAACCATGAGGAATTTTGGGAGACAGGAGTAAGGCATTCTACTTGTGGCAAGAAGGTTACAATTTAAAGAAATGCCTCCAACTTCTTACTGGAAATAATGTATTTGGTGGTAATGGTCCCTCCTTTAATGTGGAAAAACTATACAATTTATCTAGTTTGTCTGTACCAATCATATACCTGGCAAATCAGAGTTTGATGCTTGTATCACCTGTGCATTTTATGTATAAGATAGCACTATTATCTTAAGGAGTTTAATCCTGAATGCAAATTCTACACTATCTTGATTTTAAATGTTTTCACCTAACACGTCAAGTTATGACACAAATTATTATCTTATGCCTAATCATATAACTGGTATTCATGCTGAGATAACTGTTAAAAATGCGCCAAGTTGAGAATTAATAAATTAATCAACTATTTGATTAGGCAAAACTAATGTGGAAACCTAAATTTTGTTTGTTTTTAAATCGGAATACATATTTGAAGAATGTAGAGATATCCTTCATCTTTGACATAGTTCAGTTGGCTAGTTATCATTGCTTGCATGTCTTGACAGGATATGCATAATCATAGTGACTGGTCAAGTACTAGCAAGTAGCAATTCAAATCATCCTCAGAATTTGTATTATCTTTTATACTAGAGCTTTCTTCAGGGATGTGATTCGTTTTGCTTTTCAGTTTTATTTGCTCCTTACAGTTTGAGTATAGTTTGATATAGAAAATCTGTCATCTTTCCCTTCTTCTAGGGCTTAGTCTAGGATAGTTTAGAAAGATTTTCATTGGTTGCATGAGCTTAAATCACATTGCCATTACCACCCACCAGCTCCCCTTGAACCCTCTATTTTCATGGCAGGAATTCGGTATCTATGTTGATTGCTGAAATCAATTGGCAGCCATAGAATTAGTCCAATCTTTCATGGATCCATGTGCTCCATACTCGACCTATTTTGATGGAAAAAGGCAGGAAGATGCTAATGAATATGAGGAATGATACTGAAGTTTTTAAGTCTATAACCTGTGTAGAACTGCAACTGTTTATACATCTTAATAGGAGTCAAGATACTTGAGGATATTTTGAATTGTTTGTTGGGTATTTATCTGTTTGGGAACTAAAATAATGTTGTTAATATTTGGAGAGAAAAGAGTTTATTGGAGAGCAATCTCCTCACTCTTTACTTTATTATTTATAGAGATGGATTAGTTACACGTTACTCTCACAAGCAATGTGGGACTAAACCAATGCTAAACTAATACTCTCTTCTAACACTTCCCCTCAAGTTGGAGCATATATATCATGCATGCTCAGCTTGTCACAAATAAAGTTAACTCGTGTTCGACCAAGTGGTTTTGTAAGAATGTCTGCCAACTGATGTACTGTTGATACATGTTTTTTCGTAATGATTTTGTCCTTGAGCTTCTTGCGGATTACATGACAGTCGACTTGAATGTGCTTGGTTCTCTCATGAAACATATGATTCTCAGCAACGTGAATTGCTGTTTTATTGTCTCTATATAGACTCATGGGACATTCTAGAGGGAGACCAATCTCTGTCAATTGGTCTCTGATCCAAACCATCTCTAGTATCATATTTGTCATAGCTCTGTATTCTGATTCTGCACTGGATCGAGACACAACACTTTGCTTCTTACTTTTTCATAACACCATATTTCTTCCGAGAAGACACCCGGCCAAATCCGCATCAGAGAAACCTGTAACTCGGGTGTGTCTTTGATCTGAGTAGAAAATTCCTCGTCCTGAAGCCTTCTTTAAGTACCTCAAAATTCTCATTACTGCATTCAAATGAGTAGTTCTTGGTGCGGACAAGAATTGATTCACAACACTGACTGCGAATGTGATGTCAGATCTGATCACCTTCAGATAATTCAGTTTCCTCACCAATCTCCTATACTGCCTAACATTCTCAAGAAGCTCCCCTTCGTCTGGTAGTAGTTTTGAGTTCACCTCCATTGGAGAATCACTGTTTCTGCATCCTAACATTCCGACTTCTGAGAGCATATCTAGGACATACTTCCTTTGTGACAGAAGAATACCCTTCTTTAACTTTGCAACTTCAATGCCTAGGAAGTATTTTATGGAACTAAGATTTTTGATTTGGAAATGCAGCTGTAAATGCTTCTTCAAGCTATCAATATCAGAAGCATCATACCCTGTAATTATAATGTCATCCACATAGGCAACGAGCAGAATTCGTTTCCCATTCTGAAATCGTCAGAAGACTGAGTGATTTTTCTGTGCACGACAAAGTCAAAATTCCTAAATAACCGATGCAAGACGTTGAAACCAAGTTCTCGAAGACTGCTTCAAATCATAGAGTGATTTCTTCAGCCTACACACCTTCGCATTCTCCCTCTAAGCAACAAAACCTGGTGATTGCTCTATGTAAACCTCCTCATTCAAAATACCATTAAAGAAGGCATTCTTGATGTCCAACTAATGAAGTGACCAATGATTTGTGGCTGCTAACGAAACAAAAATCCGAAGATGTCATTTTTGCCACCGAAGAGAAGGTATCTATATAATCCAAGCCATACACCTGTGAGTAGCCTTTGGCAACTAGTCGGGCTTTCAGGCGCGCCAAAGTTCCATCAGGATTCAGTTTGACACTGTACACCCACTTGCGGTCGACATTGTCGCTTTCCTGGTGGAAGTGTGATCAAATCCCAAGTCACATTCTGCCGCAAGATCCTCATTTCATCATGCATCGTTTGGTTCCAACCTGGAATAGACAGGGCTTCTGACACATGCTTGGGAACCAAATATGAGTCGAGGGAAGTAACAAACGATCGAAAGATAGAGGAGAGTCGATCATAGGAGACAAAGTTAGAAATAAGATGTTGAGTACAAATTCGTATCCATTTTCGAAGTGCAATAAGAGGTCATCCGCAGAAGGGGGTAAATGTGCACTTATTGATTTAGGTTCTTCGGGCCGAGGACGAGGTGTTGAGGCCGACGTTGGCACAGGAGCAGAAGCAGAGCGACGATGATAAACTTGAATTAGGTCGTTAAACCGAACTGATTCTTTGCTAGTATCGTAAATAGTATTATCAGCAGATGAACTACCACCGTTAACCAATGACTCTTGTTGGATCAAATAGTCATACTCATCCGGTGATAATGGATATGGAGAACTAGAATGATCAGCTTTATCTTCAAAGAATGTTACATCAGCAGATAACATAAGACGATTGAGTGACGGACAGAAACACTTGTAACCTTTATGCTTTCGGGAATAGCCAAGAAAAATATCTTTAATAGACCGAGAGTCAAACTTTTATTTATTTGGACTGTGATTATGAACAAAGCACAGAGATCCAAATATCTTTGGAGGAAGCGGAAAGAGATCATCGTTTGGGTATAGAACTTTGAAAGGAATTTTATTTTACAGAACAGAAAATAGCATTCAATTAATCAAGTAACCTACTGTTAAGATAGTTTGCCCCTAAAATTCTTTGGGAACATGGCGATGGAATAGCAATGTCAATGAGATGTCTATTTTTTCGTTCAGCAACTCCATTTTGCTGAGGAGTGTAAACACAAGAACACTGATGTAGGATTCCATGTTGTTCAAGGAAACTAGTAAAGTTGTCATCCAAATATTTCTTTGCTTTATCAGATAAGAAATTTTTTATCAAAGACTTGAATTGATTGACTATTTCAGAATAAAAAAGTTTAAATGTGGAAAAGACTTCAAATCTAGAATTTAGAAGATAAATCTAGGTAACACGAGAGTGATCATCTACAAAACTGATAAAGTATCGGAATCCCAATTTAGAAGTTATTAGGCATGGCCCCTATATATCAGAATGAACAAGATCAAATGGCTTAGCAGCCCTCTTATTGACTCGATTAAGATAAGATACACAATGGTGTTTGCCAAGTTGACATGACTCACACTCTAATGAGGAAAGAGATTTGAACAGGAGATTAAGAAGCTTGAGAACAAAGAGAGGGATGTCCTAGCTGACAGTGGTATTATAGGGCTGATAAGTTTCTGATACAAACCAAATGTTTGGCGTCCAATTCCAGTTTATAATGGCCAATCTGCTAATGTCTCGTCCCAATCGTTTTCCTCGTGATTAGGTCCTGAATGACACAATATGTGGGGAAGAATGTCACTGTACAGTTTAAAGATTTAGTAATCTTATTAACAGATAAAAAGTTATAGTGAAAACTACGAAGAAAGAATACGGAGGAAAGATGAAGACTAGGGGTAGAATTGGTGTTGTCAACACTCTGAACAGGTGTACGTGAACCATCAGCTAACACAACTAAATTAAATATAGGTTTCAATACATGCTTCCACTGAAAATAGTTAATTCCATCAAGCTTCCGGTCAGTGATTCTACCAGAAAATATTTTTAAAACTTTCGTCTGGACCGTTAACTCAGAATTCTTGAGTTCCTCAGATTCGTCTATCATGAAACAAACGAGTAAAGTTCAAGACGATACCCTCCACAATGTGTACTCTAAAATGGAAACAATTAAAATATGTCCAAGTTTAAGATAATAATTCTTGAATTAGCCAGTAGGCTGAACAAGTTGAAGAACGCGAAGGTTTAATTTTGAACCCGAAGGTTAAAGTTTAAGAACCCGAAGGTTAACATGAAACTCGAAGGTTTTTTTATTTTTATTTTATTTTTTTAATTATTTACGGTACAACTCGCAGATCTTATTCAGATCCGAAAACAAAAAAGGAGAAACGGATTGACGGCGGTCATCGACAGCGAGTGAAGGCCTCATGGTGGCGGTGGTCATCGATGGCGGGCGGCGGCGGGTGGGTCTCGACGACGGGATGTTGTGGCAATGTGGCAAACGAAGAGAAGTGTCGAGGAAGTTGCGACGAACAAATCGGAAGTGGATCTTGGGATGTTGTGGCAAACGAAGAGAAGTGTCGAGGAAGTTGCGACGAACAAATCGGAAGTGGATCTTGGCATTGAGATGACTGCTCTCGTCACTAGTGGAACTCAGGGAATCGGGCACGCTGTGGTCAAGGAATTGGCTGCTCTCGGGGCGTCGGTCAACACGTGCTCTCGAAAGGAGGAGGAGCTTGGCGTGTGCTTGAAGAAGTAGATCGGATCTGGATGAAGCGAAGGCGAACGAAACAAAGGCAGCGGGTTTTGTGGATGCGAAGACTCGGGAATTAGGGTTAGGGTTAGGCTTAGGAATTTGGATTAGTATTAGGGTTAGGGTTAGGGATAGGTTCTGATACCATGTTAATATTTGGTGAAAAAAGAGTTTATTGGAGAACCTTCCCCACACTCTTTACTTTATTATTTATAGTGATGGGTTAGTTACAAGTTAGTCTCACAGGCAATGTGGGACTAAACCAATGCTAAACTACTACTCTTTTCTAACAAATGTCAAATGACTCAACATAAGCTTCCAAATAGTAATCCTGTTTCCTTCTTGGAACATGATACTGTTATACAGGTGGGTTGAAGAAATTCTTTTGGCTTTATATGAGACTTGGCTAAATGATATTCCTGTTATTTTCTTTCTGCTACAATGTGATGCCCTTGGTGCAATTATTCTGCAGAACTTCTGTAAGATTGATAAACATACTGAATGTGTCATCCTTTGTATGCTTTCATCTGATACTGACAAGAAATCTTAGGTAGAAATGACCAGCAATCATCACCTCTTGTACATTATTATGTTGACTGGTCAATGCTGCAGTGCGTATGTTAATGCTTGCAAGTCTTTATGCGTCTTTAACTGCAGATAATAAGATTTCTTTCATCTTAAACTTTTGGTTGGTTGGTTGGTTGGTATTTGGCAGATGCAGGTCAAATTGTTGATTCCCGCTATGAATTTTCAGTAGTGGATGCCAATTCATTGACTTTTCTCTTCAAGAATGCTCCTGAGGCTGCAAAATTTCTCGGGATCAGTTCAGAATTTTCTTTTACAGAAGATTACTATTCTGATAAAAGTTCATGGGTGGTAAGTAGATTAAGTTCATTATTTTGTATCAGGGGGCGTAACAAGTTTTGACCGTGATTACTGTTGTTTGTACATAAATAATTAACAGTTGCTTAGTTTCAGTTATTCTTACCATTATTTAATTTTCAAATAACGCAATAGTATATAAAGTAATGCTGCAAATTAATGATTATGTGAAATTATTTTGAAAAAATGTCCTGTTTTGTCAGTGCATTCTATTGACAATTTTCTACATTTGCATAAATGCCCATAATTTTTTTATCGAAGAACCTGTCCTCACCATAAAACCAAACAAATACCTTCATTATTTAGATAACACGAATAAGCTGGTAAATTATCATAGAATTCCACCACTATTTGAATAACAAAATATGTAAGGCAATATGAGAGCTCACAGTCCCTCTTTATTGTAAGAAGTGAATAAGGAATGCCTGTTATTTTCCTTCAAATTGTGAGAAGCATGTTACGGTAAGTATTTTAAATAATATGAAGTGAATCTTTCAAAAATAAAGGTTTCTAATTAAAGCTAGATCCTTTCTCTCCCTTTTCCAACAGTTCAGGATGAGAAGAATCACTCTTGAAATATCAGGCAGCGAGTCTTATTTCCTCCCCTTCTCATGAAAACTTCTTCTGCCAGAAATTTTTTGAACATCATGAATACAAATTACAAGATTGAGGCAGTTCACTGAGATTTGAACTTCAGGTTCCACTGAAATCCAACCTTGGGCTGAGTTACATATAGAAGCATTGGACAAAAACATGCAGAATCAAATTAGTAACCTCTAAAGCATAAAGGAAATATAGTTATTACCCAAAAGGGCTGACTGAAAACTGGTCATCACTTTGGACTTCTGCCATTGAAAAAGCGAATATGGGCTCAAATTCTAGACGACTGTTCAGCATCAGATGTACATAGTACTTTCTTACAAATTAGCATGTATTTTTCCCTGCAGCAGAAGTTTCTGTCCACAGTTTGTTCTTTTGAAATTGCAGTCTTATATCTATATTAAAACTTTGCATGGTTGCATTATTTGAATTTCCTTCAGCCTTTGTACTCAATACCTCGAGAAATCCAGAGGCCTAATATCTTAATTTAAGTTGCCTTCAGTCTCTTTAAAATAATACCTTGCTAATTTTGTAGTCCGGTTGAATGTTGTGATTAGCATGATTGAATCTTTTGCTTCCAATTTTTGGCGTCCACGAGGCTACCTTTCAACATAGAGAGTCTGCCCTTAGATTGCCTCAGTTTTTTCGTGATCCATCTTGTACTTGCCCTGCAATTTTTTCCAACTTTTTTGTAGTTCTCAGGCCCTCTTATCGCTTCTAATGCACCTCACTTAAGCATTGCACACATCGTACCTTATCCGACTTGCATCTTGCTGAGAATTCTTACCTACATAGACTTTCATGCTGTTGTCATCCCATTGTCAGTAATATCAGCCTCTGGTTTGTTCAGTGTTATAGGGAACTTCAGTAGTATTATCTAGTGATCCCTCTGCTAAGATTTTATTAGTTAGCTATTTGACAATTTGAATACTCCGGTCAATTTCCATACTCGCTTATATTACTCTTCTGATCTCTATCTAAGGGTTAGGGTTTGTGGGAGTAATAACTTTGGCGGCTCCTTTTCTGTACATGCTATTAGAGCAGGAGAAATTGGGAAAACCCTGACCACAAAAAATCATACACATGAGAAGATAAACTACCCCACCTCAATGTATTGTACATCGTGAATAGTGTCTGAAGGTATTCTTCACCCTGAGCAATACTTTAATGGTACTGTTAATCCTGAGCAGAACTGCGATGGTACTGTTCATGGTGGTGGTAACCTCCGATGGTACCGTTCACGTGAACATTTAGCTCCCTGGTTGCCTGCTTATTCTTATGGAACTTCGTTAGTTTCTTGTCAATGAGGTGCCTTGAAGTTGTGATCTTTCTCGTTGAAGGATTCCAAAATCAAGATCAGGCAAACAAGCGAGTGATGGATCAATCAGAACTCTTCTATCCCTTTTTGCTTCTTCTAGCTAAAGCCACCTATAAGGTTTTTGCTATTAAGTAGTTCCGCACATTCTTTCCCTGGTATAGGTTTCTAAACTTTGAGTCAATTTCAAGGGTCTCTACTGTTGTCTATTCACTGACTTTGCTGCATATTGACCACACAAGCAAGAATTTGCGTGTGATATCTGTCTGACTTTATTTCGGCTCTCTTGTACATGGGTGCTCTTTAGATGTGAGGACACTATTCTGGCTGCTATTTTGTTATAAGTGTCTCTCTTGTACAAAGCTCTTTGACCTACTTTTTCTTGTTCCTGTGTGTAACAAACTGGGCATATTTTGTATATATATGCTCCAACTTGAGGTGGAGCTGCTATTCGTTCTTTGTTATTTAGCTACTTGGATACTAGTACTTGGGTGAATACGCTTGTGAAAACTCTCCTAATTTCTAAGAGGTTTAGGGTATGTCTGAGCAATAGCTTTGACTGCTCTTTTTCTCTGCACCCTTCTAGATGACCATATATTTTATACTCTGTAAAGTTTTGCAGCCGACATGGCGAACTTGATTATATTATGTGGTTCCATTTTGGTATCAACTTATTTACCCTTTATATGGCACACCTTAGTGGACCAACCCTCCTCCTTGTTCTTTCTATCCCATTCCATTCTTAGGGATACCTCACCACTCATAGGCAGCAATCATTAGGTTATCCTAATAATTTCTTTCCATTGGATTTGCATCCGGTTGTTGTTTCTATTTTAGAAATACATACCATATAAATTCGATGTAGTTTTGTATGTATCATTACCGAATTCATGTGATTTTTTTTCTCTATATCTCATTCATTTGTATGTGATGGTTCGCTGCTGGTTATTAAGTAATAAAATGTCCTCCACTTATACATTGATAGTAATATTTTCAGTTTTATGCTCCCAGCATACCAGTCCGCTATTTCTTGGAAATGCGAGTGTATAGGTGGATGACCTTGTTTGTTTGGGTGGGTGGTGGTCACAAATAATATATTATAAGTGTATAATTATATATGTATATGTGCATTTGTATGTGTGTTTATATATTATGTATGTTTTTTTTTAAACCTATATACCCCTTGAAACTATAATATTTTTAAATTACCTCCCAAATTTGATTGTATTTCGATTTGCCCCTCAATTCTCAAAATATCATTTGAGTTACTTCTAGATTTTCTGTTAGGGAATATTCTCGATACATTCTCTTTTTTTTTAAGTTGAAAAATTACAACCCTCAACCATCACTAGAACTTTGGAGTTTTCGTATAGTCTTAGGGTTCATTGACATGATATAAGAGATACTCAGCTTCAATCCCCGCCGGCCACGAATTTAAAGCAAATTAAAAGAGATATCGCTACTTGAGTCCAAGTTTTGGTCAATGAAAAGGCACTCAACTTGCGAGCGCATGTTAGAGTATAAAATTATTACACTCAACCCTCACCACAATTTTATTTTTAGTGTAGTGGCAGGATTCTTTGACAATTACAATGTCTGACCCTCACTTGATTCATTATAGTTAAAATTTTAATTAATTAATTAAGAGATTTGAGCGAGGGGGATCTTGGGGCTGACAACTAGGTTCATAGTCTACTACAGGGAAAGGAGTGGGGTTTTGACTTCAGTATGGGGGCAGATATAGGGTTATGGGAGGGAGGGAGGGAGAGAGATAGATAGATAGGGAGCTGCCGAAGGGTTCAACTGGTTTCAGGGTTGGCGGGTTTATAGATAAGAGAGCCAGAGAAGATAAGAATAAAATCAGTATTTAAAAAAAATCAAAACCCTAAAGTAGTGTGAGACCCTTTTATAAAGCGAACGGAAGCAGTTTCAAGGCATGAGTCATAAACATCATAATTTATGATATTTTAATGGTAAAATTTATAAATATTTTAGTGTGATACAATATTTGCAAATAGATACATTCAGGTCTTTGAGAGTAAACAAAAAAGGAATAAAGTAAGTATAGTCATAATTTATTACAAACTAAGCTAAGTGATATCTGTATATATACATGATTATATTGAAGCCACATGATATACAATTATTATTCTTATTAAAAAACCTATATTCAGTGTTAGTCTTGACTCAAGTGTCCACATAACAAATGACAAGAAACTAAACAATCTCCAGGAAAGAGAAGAGGGTTCTCGAGATGGAAGAAAATTTAATATCCATTGAGACAAGGGGGGGGGGGTGTGGGGGGGGGGGCGGGAATAACGATAAAGTTAGGATTGTTTGAAAACAAGTTAAATTCATAATTTAGTACTCAAGAAATTTTTGCTCGGAGAACACAAAAGAACAATACCTATCACAAGATTATATAATATGATTCCTTTGGCTTTTAATTTCAACAAAATGAAGCAGGGTAGTTTTTAGGCTAGAGAGAGAAAATGAAGAGACTAAGCCTTCTTTTCATTCTAATTAGAAGTCTTTGTTTAACTCCCTTATCGTTGTCTTGAAGCATGCGCTTCAAAAGAGAAGCACTTTATGAGGCTTTAAGCATGCACTTTTGCTATGCTTCAACTAACAAAGCATGCAATTTTGCTAAATGAGCTGTCAAGGGATAGGCTAAGGTGAGGCCACCCCTGGTCACATTACAGCATGTGAATCTTACTGTTCCTATCTCTTGGTAGCTCATCTTGCTAAGTGAGGCCTCTTATGTGTGTATGCCTCATACACATACTATTACATGACCAACCCTTTCACTTGGACCTCGAGAATGAATAATGAGGTCTTACAACTGCATATACCTTTATGCCTTGAGAAGATATGGATTCTATTTTTTTTTCAAGTGTCTTACAATTGCATATACCTTTATGCCTTGAGAAGATATGGGTTCTATTTTTTTTAAGTGTTTGCATATTCTTACGGCTCTGATCTCTTTGTATTTTTCAGGCTGTATTTCCAATATCTTCCTTGTTGTCAGGGAGCATGAAGTTCCCCGCACGAAGTGATGATATTTTCCTTCAATATAAAGACATGCCTCGCCTGTCAATCCTTCGCACAGACTCTGTATCTAAAACATCACACAGAAGAGTGCACCTGGAACTCTTTCTTGGGTACCACTATCATTCCCTCAAGATTTACCTGTTCACTATACCTCTAACAACATTATTGAAAAGTTTCTGACGTCCTTATAGAGTTTGCTTTTATTTTGAACTGTTGCAGTTCGTTGAGAGAAATATGGTCGACAGTCCTTAATATTACTGGTCCATTATCAAGTTGGTCTTTTGCAGATAATAGGCTTCCAGGTTGCTTGCCCATACATTATTTTTTCTGTGTTGATTACTATTAGTATTATTTTGCTTCAACGGTTAAAAATCTTGTGAGTTTTTTTTCCCCTCTTCAGCTCCTGAATCAGCTGACGGTGGCCCCCCTTCATACATTATGAGACTTAGCGGAAGTAGCCATGAGAATTGGACATTCTGGCTGGAGGTACTGCATTTCAACCTTGTTCCATTTATTTATTTATTTATTTGACATCTAACGCTCTCAATAACCATAAAAGAGCGCTTAGATCTGACATGGTGGTTCATTTATTACTGATATTATTGTCAAAGAGAACTGTTATTTATGCACCCGAGTATAGCATAAATGTTATATATACTGATAGGAGTCCTAAGTCCGCCAATCTTTTTATCCATTGATTTTGCATTAAAATTCATGCTAATATGTGATACACATCAAGGCACATATCTCAAAGATTTCATGCTCAGTGGCAGAGCTTTTGAATGGCGGGTCTAGCCATG